ACTTTTTTCTACAGAGAAAAAAAACATAATTTTAAGTTAATAACTTATAATTATTTTTAAAATAATGATAACAGTTATGTGATAATATTTAATAATCTAAAAATGGTATAGTCAATATGGGGAAGATTTTTTTTTTACTAAATTGTTGGATTTTTAGGTTTAGAACTTAAGGATTTTAGATTGTAGATGATCATTTTTGAAAATTTAGAATGACGGATCAAATTGGTGGAGAATAATTATTTCCAATTATTATGTTATAACCGGAAGGGACAGATAATTTAATTATTTTAATTTTATTTTTCCCCGATTTATTTACAAAGCAGACGGCTTTCAACTAAGGGATTCTTCTTGCCATTTATATACAAATCTTTTGCGTAGGCTAAAATCAGAAGGCAAAAGAACATTCCGTAGGGAAGAATTTTTACCCATAGGGGGAATACCTGTGATAAAGCCATTCTAACCGATGGTACTGGCGATCAATATAATTATAGCGCACAGAGGGAAAAATGTTTCCCGCTCTCTGAAAAATGCGTAGGTGACCTTTGGTAATACTTCTCAACTCAGAGATACATATACAAATAAGTTTGTTAATAATTTTATAAATTGTTTTAATAAATAATTTCATATAATTTTTTTGCAAATTAAGATACATATACAGTTAAATACGTCAATAGGATGTGAAAATTATTTTTCATAAGGGAGAAACTAAGAATCGAAATCGCCAGAAAACTCATATCTAGTGAATCTTTTCATCTGGGTAAAATTTAAACTTCGTAGTTGAACATTCATGGAAATTCGTGATAAAACCGATTTTTTTCTTTAGCCTATTTTGTTCTTGCAAGAGACTTCTTTGCATCCCCGAGGGCTTGACATGAAAACTCGAGACTTTCCGTATCTCGTGACGTGATCCGCCTTTCTTTCGTTTTGCAGCACTTTACAAAGAAAGCAGCTACCTTCCTCTCTGCATTATGTTAGGCAGTGACCATTTTCTTCGCACTTATATAACAGATGAACGATCTGTCAACCGCCTTGCAGTTCTTGCTGATGTGGGCGTAGCACCAATGACACTGCACGACCCTTTAATTTCTTCCTAATTGGACAGCACATAAATCCCATCTTTATGCAGTCTACTGCTTCCAGGCTGTCCGCCTCTTTTTAATCGGTGACTACTCATATCTCGTTGGAAAATTAAACAAAATCGTTTTAAATTACAGAAAAATAATTTTTTTGCTTTGTTAAATATTTCGATATTATCAAAAATACGAAAAGAATTGCTTACTATGCAATTGGTGATGTGTCCTTCTCAACTGCAGCCAAAATTCTGTCCAAATATTATTCCCAAGACGTATATATTTCTTCCGCTGGTGATTTGGCGAATGTAATATTATTTTCTCGATATTATTGACTCCTGACGATTCCAACAATATATCATATTCCCTAAAGCTACAAAGTTAGGTGTACTATTTTATCATCAAAGTTTACCAAATTTATAAATATAGCTCGGTTATTTTGCATAAACAAACACTCTTGTCGTGGCTACATTCATAATTCATAAATATAGGGCAGTTTTCCTAAAAATACAACCTTGTCACGAAAGTTTCAATCCATAATTTTAATCTATAATTTCATAATTTTCCCACTTTACATCAATCGACAGCTTCGAAGAATTATTTACAGTGTTGAATTGGTGCCATCAATATTATATAGCCTCACAGGAATCCTCTAAAAAATAATTTTGTTAGTTATCATTTTAGTTCACCACTTTCATCAGAAACACAAACCACTAAAAGTAATACACAATTAACATATATTCGTGACGAAATGTTGTGAGAGAAATGAAAGTGCACGATGCCAAGTTAGTTGAAAATCAATCACATGAGGATGGATAAATTTCCAAATGAGGCGTCCCTTGTCAAACAACAGAGAACATGAAAATCGGCTCAGTCGTTCAATTACAGTAGTTGGATGAAATCAGCTTTGTCAATTTTATTCACTGGATAATCTAATGCGTCAATTATTCCAAAAAGTAAAGTACATGATGAGATAAAAATCGATACAGCAATATAAATATTTATACATGGATCCGGAAGTTATTATTGTCGAAAAATAGATTTTTTGATTTAAAGTACATAGAATGTTCTCCCAAAGTTTTGAATTAATTTGAAGAAAAATGAAACAGAATATATTTAAACCTCGCCAACACGGCGCTTAGGTACACAGTTTTTGGATGTCGTGAATAAAATTACATATTTTAAATGAATAGATTCACTGGAGCAAATATCAGTTAAGGGAGAAATTATCAAGGGGATTACCCTCTCATTATTCCCGTGACCAATGATAGGGACAGTGCACGCCTATAAAATATTTTGTTTCGTTATCGTACAAGGAGATTCTTAGGACGTTTCTTCTTCCAGTAAGTCATTATAATAAATTGATAACATACACTCATGAATTTGAATTCTCATATCATATGAACTATTCACCATCCATTGATCTGAAATCCTTTAACTACACTACTGACAATGAGTAGTGGTGCATACTCTTTCTAATTCCACTTAATATATATGAATTGTTCTAAATTTAACTCTATGTTCCCAAATTAATTTAATCAATTAATAATCAATAATATTACATTTAATTTCAATATAACTTAATTAAATCAATAATTAATTTCAATGTAATTTAGTTAAATCAATAATTAATTTCAATGTAATTTAATTACAATTAATATGTAATTTAATAATTTGAATCCATTAACTACAAGATTTAAATGACTCTTCCTAATTTCACTTAATACATTGGAATCAATCTATATTCATCTCTTTGTTCCCAAATTAATTTAATTAATTAATAATTAATAATATTAAATTTAATTACAATTAATGTGTAATTTAATAATTTGAATCCATTAACTACAATATTAAATGACTCTTCCTAATTACACTTAATATATTTGAGTCAATTTACATTTAACTCTTTGTTCCCAAATTAATTAATAATATATAATTTAATTAAATTAATTTAATAATTAATGTAAATATAATAATATATAAGACTCTTTCTAATTCCATTTAATATATTTGAATTGTACTACATCAAATTCTATGTCTCCAAATTAATTAAATAAATTAATAATTATTTATATTAATTTTGATTAAATCAATAATTAATTTCAATGTAATTTAATTACAATTAATATTGAATTTAATAATTTGAATCCATTAACTACAATATTAAAAGAGTCTTGCTAATTCCACTTAATATGTATGAATTGTTCTATAATTAACTTTATATTCCCAAATTAATTAAATTGATTTATAATTAATAATATTAAATTTAATTAAATAAATAATTAATTTTAATGTAATTTAATTACAATTAATGTGTAATTTAATAATTTAAAAAAGCGTAAACAACGTTTGTATTGTTGCCTGTGTACTTTTTACATTGTACGGGAGATTTAATATTAATTTATTTATTTTATATTTAATTAAATGAAATAAAATAATCGTTAAAGATTACTAAATCGCTAATGTTCATCAAAATTAACATTTTGGTTTGGTTGAGAATCTTTTTCGTTTTTTGATTTTAGATAATCCTTTTCCGACTTATCATATTCACAGAAAATCACATTATTTTAATAAAGAATATACAATTTTTAAAAATTCTAATAAATACTGTTTATAATTTCCCTATAAGTCTATTCAACTTTAATACATTTTAACATGAAAATATTACAATGGCTCAAATGAAGACATAAAAATTCTATTAAGGTTTTTGTCCGCATAAATTTATTAATTAGAGGATAATATTTTTCTAAAGTTATGTGTATGTGCTTAAAATAAACATCAGCTTTTTGCTCTATTAATTTAGAACGATTCTACTAAAGCCATTGACTTTTAGCGATGTAACAAAGTTCTTTATTTTATTGCTACTAAAGTTTCTTGTTAGGATAAAAAAAATTAACTCATATTCTTCAACAAAATTAGTACCATATTATTTTATTTAATATAAATCATTAAATCTGAAAACAGATGATTTAAAAAATGATAAAATCATACCGTAATATTAACGAATATTACGTTATTAGAAATCACCAAGAACAAAATAATATTATGTGGAATTAAATTGTCACGGTGCGCCAGAAGGTGGTTTAAATAAAAATGAATTGTCACTTAAAAATTCTTTTTGATTATGATTCTTAGATGAATAACAAACATTTCTCAATAGTTTTTAAAATCAGTTTACGTGCCCGATTTAAATAAAATTGAGTTTTTATATAAAAACAGTGTTTTATGGGGAATCAGAATTTATTTAATCTAATAAATACTGTAATAAATGATAAAATAATTACTTATTTTCAATTTTACATATAAATAATTATATTGCTGTAGTGTTTGTGTCCGATTTTAAAAAATTAAATTATAATGTTAAAAGAACAATTTTAAGAGTGACAAAATTTATTTAACAGAGTCGAATGATCTCTGAAATTTTTTGGCAAGAAGAGACCTTTAATTTTATCGCTCTATAAAAACGGCACTAAACGTGAAAATGATAAACATTGATTTTAAAATACTTTCTTCTCGAAAGACGGACACTTTTTACAAAAGCAGCTAGAGATCCTTATCTTATATAAATTTCCTAAATCCTAAAGATTATATGAATCCATACAAAAACACGATTGCAAAACGAAAAGTAATATAATGAGGGGTTCATTACCTCCTGCCGCCGTCAGATGGCAGCAGCATTCAGGGCGCACCGTGATTGTATCATTATGGTGATATATAGAAAACGCACTAACAATAACAGAAAATATAATTTAATTCCCAAAAATTCAAAAACAAGGCACAATTATTCATGTTTTCCAAAATCGTAATAATTAATAGGACAAAAAATTCTTATCGTTATATATTGCTATTGCTCTTGTTTGATAGTTAATTTTAGTTAATTTTAGTATCGGCGATATACATAATTTACATGAATTTACTTTTTGATTTTAGCCACCTACTGCAGAGCTGTAATCGTGAACGCTGGAATTTATCTAATACTGTGAGTAATATAAATTCAACAGGTGAAAAAAATTATTAAATTTATAAATAATTCAAATATCGTCAGTTACTGAATATAATTTTTTAGTAGGAAACATCGAGAAAATATTCCGTTTAAATTTTATCCCATGTATGTTGTAAAATATATAATGAAATTTCGTCTTTTTTTTTTCTTTTACAAAATAATTGGAACTATTCATTTTGGTATTGTTTTTCATGTAACTAAAGATATATTAGAAACGGAAATTCACTCGGAGTGGCGTTTTAATAGCTCAGTAGACTTGACGGATTTACGTTCTTCCTCTTGCTGTCCATCTTTTTCCACTCCCTTCCTATATTCCTATTCAACTAACCCGTTGGTACCAGTTTGTGGGATGAACGGATGATCGGGAGGGAGGAAGTGTGGGTGAGTACTACACGTGAAAAGCAGAACAAGACGAAACGGAACCAACCTAGTAAAGTACTTGCGGCATAGAAGATAGAGGCAGATGAGAAGGGTTACTACCCACTACTGTTTGAGGGTAGAGAGGACGAAATGGGTGGGTTTCGTAAACTGCTTTCCACTGGGCAATATTAACGGTCTACACGTATAGGATTTATGGTTCTAAGCTAAGCGGCCTTTCGTAATACCAAAGACAAACTCGTTCTCGAGACTACTGTGCGATGTGGTCGTCCTCTGGCAGTGGTCTGCCCTACGAGAATTTCTGCAAGTTCTTTCCTTTTGCATTCACTATCCAAGTTATTGCTAACCAAAACCCAGAGGAAGGAAGAGATGTTTGCGCACAAAACTCCTCGGCGCGAATTTAACAAGAGGAGTTCAATTTATTTTCGACGAATTAGTTCAAATTAGTTTCAAAATAGCGTAGATTACCCTAACCGCAATGACCCCCCTACACTTGTTTGGTCTTATCTGGAATTTAAACAGAAATTGGGACATAATTTAAATCAGTCCTGATTTAAATAAAGGAGAAGATTTGATTTTGTGTACCATTCAAATTGGAAGGAATTACATGTAACATTTTTGAAATCATCTAGTAATGATTTAATCAATCAGTTTGGATAGCAGTAAAATTTCTTTTATTTTTTTTTTACAACTTCTCTTTTTCTTCACTATACTGACTTTTTCTACAAACATAATCTTCCAGTTCCTTTTTTCCCTTCCTTGTATTTCTATTATTCCCTTCAAGATAAATGAACTTTACGACCATTTTTCATTCTAACTCTTCAATCTTCTGTTTTCAAAATTAACTTTTGTAATATTTCTATATAAATATAGGTTTTATTTGTTAAAATAGAAAAATTTAAATAAATCAATAAAATTGAATTTTGAATTTAGAGGACGGTTCAGCTGTATTAAAGTGATTATACATCGGAGCATTGAAATGGATCATCAGTCAGTGAAGTGTACTTCTGTCATCACTCATGCCAAAGTTGGTTGACCAGTAGAGAAGTTTGGTATACTCAATACTTTTCTCTTTCTCACCACAGAGTTTCATCAACAGAACTAATCTTCTCTAAACATCAAGTTAAATTCAATTAGTGATTTGGTATTTACCGCTTTGTTCATGATCCTCTTTGGCAGACAAACCTATTAAATTCTTGTTTTTAATAGTTCTGGAAATTTTCATTAAATTGATTTAGAAATTAAAATCACATTGAACATCAGAATATATTTCCAATACGAGCACTTTTCGATATCTGAAATTATCATAAGTTGTAGTACAGATCTGAAATTAAAATTCCAAATTTTTTTTTGGTTACTGGAATGTAAAAGGACGGGATAAAAATTAAAATTTTGACAGGCTGCTTAATTCCCTCCCTTTCTTATAATCTGAAGTTAGGATGCTGCAAAATAGTTAATGGATAAGTTTTGAATAGTTTTACAATTTAACATAGAATTACTAAGTGAATTCACTCAAGCAACAAGTAAACTACTACATCAGAATTTAAACCAATAAAGCTATGTTAAATTTTAATATATATTTTACCGGTAGTTTCTTTAGTGAATTATTTGCTTGATATATTCATGTTTACTCTAATAGAGGAAATTTTGGGTGGTTGTGGTTCGCGTGCGCCATATAAACTTCATCCTCTTGGCGTGGTGCGTAACAAAATTTTCACTTTGATGCATTTTCGGCTGAAGGAAGGTATCTTTGTATAATGTTTCCTTCCAACGCCAACGTCGAGTAATTTAATCATCGAGAATGAGAGAGAGAGAGAGGCCTTGCTCATAAATTAATTATGGTGGTGAAGAAGAACACTTACAATAAATTTTCAAGACACGATGGCAGCACTATGCCTTCAGTTAATTATTAAAGGTTTTCTTTTTTCCAATTCTTAAAGGATGAGAAGGTTTATTCTCCAGAGAATATATATAGGCAAATTGACGTCAACCGTTGACTCGGAAAAAAAAGGTGAGAGCACCAGAAAAACCATTCGAGATATAGAGAAAGAAAAAAAAGGCGGAAAAAAAATTGCAAGTTTTATTCCTGAAAAAAAAAATTCAACCCCCTATTATTCAACCTTCATTGAATAAAAATAATGGGATAAAAATTTTCACTGTGAAAATAAAGAAAACATACATACGTATATATATGTCTATTATTTTACTCATTCCTCATAAACGCCTTCGCATCGCTTGAGCCTTTTACTTTGCCCTCGCGTGTTCTCTGAGAAACGTTGAAACACGTCTAGTCTGCGTGAGTTAAGTCCACGTTCAATATCTGCCGAGGCAATTTGTGCGATTACCCGGAAGAAAGATTCGCAAAAAGCCATTTTTTAAAGTCTACGATAATATATAATAACAAGTGCGGTGGTATTTATTTTTAAATGGAAAGGAAAAAATTACAATTGCATGTTCGTTGAAATTATTAGAAAAAATTTTTTCCGATTAGTACAGACACGAAGCATTTTTCTTTTTTTTTTTTAATCAACCAACCTTTATATGGCGCGCAGTATTTAAACGGTTTCTTTTGCGCGCAAGAAAGTTCGCAACGACAAGTTTGTCAAACTAAAACTTTTTCTCTTCAAGTTAAAAAGTCCAAGAGTTATGAATTTTTAATGAAAACCGCGAAAAAACAAGATTACGATTTTCCTGACTCTTCATTTTTCAAGCTTGCATTTAAATGAGCAAACTTAAATAAAGAGGAGGGAAGTTGCTTTAAAAAGTAGGTCCAGGTATTCATTTTTTCAATTCCAAAATAATTACAATTTAATAGGATAAATAAATTGGAGCATTTGACAAGATACGGAAGAGATGCAATGGAAATTTTCCAAAATTTCAACAAATATGAAAATCTTTCTATAATTTTAAAATAAATTCAAAATTATTAGCGGATTATAAATTTTGAACTATATGATGGGAATGATATTTCTATTCGTAGCCTTCAACGCAAATGTGTGAAATGCGCGTTTATATAATTCTTCTAACACCCGATATCGCTTGAAACAATGCAGAAATTATCGGTCTCTTCGGCGAGATTAATATTAATAGGATCCAGAGGAAGCGTACATTAATAGTTGCCATGGTTCCGATTATGTGAAATTAATGATCGCGTGCAATGTCGCTGAAATACTCGACAAAACGTATTTCCCAACGGATAATGAAACAAGGAACTATTAATATTTTACCACGAATCCTAAACGATATACATTTATATCGCTCGTAATTTTCCGCCCTTTACATTTATTCACAAACTCAGAGAATTTATCTTTCCATCATTTGCAACAAATTATAGAAATTCATTTAAAATTTATAGCATATCCTCGAACTCATTAAATCAAAATTAAATCTCATATCAATTATCATTATTACAAAATTTATTGTCCAGCAGATTTTACCTCGTTTTATTATTTCGGTTCAATAGCCTGGAAACATTTGTATTTTACTGTATTAAAAGACTTTACAAATAAATGTTCTTTTTGAGCTTTTTAACAATCATCATGAAATAATCATAAATATAATTATGATTTTTTTTATTTTGTAAAACCACAGCTGAAAAGACGCAATTTTTTTTTTTAGAGAGAAAAGGGGATTTTAAGAATTGAGCTGAAAAAGCAATTCTGGCGCGATAACGGTGTAAATAGTGTAAATAACAGTATGCAAACGGACTTAGAACGACGCTTACCTGCGTAACCACCGAATCGCACAATCCAAGCAGAAAATCCAATGTCCTTAAATCATAGTTCGTCGTTAGAGGTTTGCACTAGCGTTACGGTTCAATCGATAAACACACACCAACCACCCTTCCGGTCACCACCCAACCACCCACCATAAATGCCAGAGCATACCAACTCACCCCAGATGTGGTTTCGTGGGTCCTTCTTTACTGTTATGAGCGTGGATAAAATCTGATAAATCCGTTTACCTACAGCAAGTAAAATTCGTTCTAAAGGAACTAAAAAAAAGCATGTTTTGTATTACAAAAAAAAGGATTAGATATTATTTACAGAAAATTAATGCCATTGAAAGGAAAATCTGTAACATGACTTTTATTGAACAGTTTTAAATTTTGGATTTACCACAATGGATTATTTATTTTATGGAATTTAAATTTAGCATAGTCTCAAGGACTCAGAAGAAATCGAAATCCTACAGTTAAACCAAGGGCTAAATGTATCAAGACAACTTCAGCCAAAACATCGACTTCATCATCTAATGAGGAAGTGGATTTTTGTAAAGAAACTGAAAAATATTTTCTCTTGTTGTTTTACCGCTCAAGGTTTTTGAAATTATACAAATAAATTTTGATTGACAAATATACCACACGATTCGAATCATGATAATTGAGTTTCTTGCAAAACAGTTGCTGGAAGATTGAGTAGGAAACTGAACATTACTGTATCGAAGACACGTGCTTTGGACTCGTCCTGGGATTACACGAACAGTAACTCCCAACGGTAGTCGATTGCCTGGTAAATAGGATCCGGCAGCCAAATAACTGTCTTTCAGCATGGTCCAGTAGAGAGAGAGAGTAGGCACTATGTATATAGTTTGTGTCC